ATGGGCCTCCAAAATGCAGTTCAAGGGGTTAAGAGATGGCTCAGTGGTTAAGAGAAATGGCTCCTCTTCCAGGGGTCTTGATTTCAATTCCCAGCAACCACTTGGTGGCTTACAACTATCTATAGTGGGGTCTAATGCCCTCTTCTGGCATAAAGGCATACATGCACATAGAGTACTCATATACATAAAGTAATTCTTTTAAAATGCAGTTCAATGTGTCACTTGTAGCTGTATAGCTACTGCTTTATGTGGGACCAGTAGCTTTCATTGCAGTGGCAAAGATTGGAGGCTGGGAACAGACTGAGCACTAGCTGTACCACCTGCCCTCTACCTAGATCCAGCACTGGCAGCATACTACCAGCTGCAGTTGAGGCAGAACCAAACTGAACTAACTCCAGCACCACAGCACCACTGACTGTGGAGTTAGAGACACTATATCACCAAAGATGCAAACTTTGTACCATGTCTGGAGTTACCTCCAGAGCTGATTAAAATGTTGCCATGTTGCCGGAAAAAGACATTAGCAATTGTCTCTGGTTGATAATATCAAAGATTGTGGCTTAGGAACCTCACTGGGATGATCATAATCATTTGTTTTGGTTAAATATTTGCCTAAATCAAATAACTGATCCATTATTATCTAATTATATTGCTGCATAATGAATTATTCCAAGAATAAAATTTTTCTTCTGATCTATATTTGTTAGGTGAACTCCAATAGAAAGTAATTATGGTGATTGAATAACAATATGACTTCAATTAGAAAAACTCAGTAGAACTGCCATTATATCGGAGATTACTTCTTCATTCAATGGTTTGTTATGTAAGTGTATTTCCTTTGCACTAAGTTGCCCACTCACACTTGCTCTTTCTTGTTCATCTAATAAGTCCACTAAAATACAATCTTTTAAAGTTTGCTTTTGAGAATTTTATATAGGCGGCTCTGTTTACATCATTTCTCCTCCCCTCTTTCTCAGAATCTTCTCATAGGTACCTCACCACTTCCAAATTTATTACTTCTTACTCTTCATTTATTATAGTTAGGTATATGTGTGTTTATATAAATTCATAAATACAGCATGCTGAGTTCATTTAGGGTCACTCATGTGGGTCTGTATTTAGATTTGACCACTTGGGATTGTTTAACCTGTTAGAGGGCTCATCCCATGAGAAGTTTTGTTTTCCTTCTCAACAGTCATTAACTTCCTGTAGCTCTTCATTTAGTGGTTGGGCATCACGAGATTCCCCCATCCACACTGGCATGTTAATTGGTAGAACAAGTTCTTATAAAAAACATGATTTGAATCTGTTCTTTAACTGTCGACACACTAACTTCCTCTGTTTCCTCAGAAGGAAATCAGTAGCCTGAACTTCACACATGATTTCAATGACTTTGTAGTTTATTTCTATTTTTACTTATCTCTAAATTATATAATTTTTATTTATAAATATACATTTACATTACATAATTTTCATGAGCTGTCATACCAATATTCTGTAAACAGTGACCTAATTAATGTAAATTCATTTTCCCACCATTCCATAAGCTAGAAATTCAACATCAAAGGGACAACAAAAGATTTTTTCCCTCTATTTCCATCTGATGGTTCAATCCTAATAATTCTTATTGACCACTTTCTTCCTGTTACATTCATCCTGAATTATGAGATGGATATCCTTGTATATCTTTTTAGAAAAACAATAATTTTCTTGGATTAAGGACATATATTCAGCATTTCCTTTCATATTAATTAGCTTATTATACACCTCATTCTCAAATAAAATCATACTTGCAGTTAGGGCCTCGACATTTAAATCTATATAGAGCAGATTTTGGCATACAATGCTAAATAATGTGCATAAATATAAAAATTTATTCCCATATTTCTCCATTCTGTTGAGGTCTTATTTTCCCTTCACCATTATCTTTCTTTTTATGTTATTTTGTTGTAGAATTGATATGGATTATTCCTATGTAAAGATATCAAATTAATTTGTTGTTGGATGTTTTTCTGTACTTAAGAACCAAAGTTGCTACAAATTTTAATCTGTGTCTTCTTGTTCATGGGCAAATATCATTAGGTGTAAATCTGTTGCCACAATGCATGACCCTTTGCTGGGTATATTTTCCTTTCCTTTGTTTAAAGGGTTTACATTTTTTTATTTTTTAATTTCATTTTTTAAAAAAGCAAACCATCTTTTTTATTTACATTACAATCCCAGTTTCCACTCCCTTCCCTCCCCCCATTCTCTCAACCTTTCTCCATCCCACCCCCATCCACTCCTCAGAGAGGGTAAGGCACATTTGTTGTGCATATTTTCAATGGTAAATAACACAACACTGTTTCTTTCTTAAAAGTGGCTAAGAGTCCCAACTAATGTAGACCAGAGTTTTCAAAGAGTGTATTCTGGAGCAAATTTCCAGTTTCTTGTTCATTGGAAGAACTCCAAAGATATTTCTACATGTCTGTCCCTATTATTATGATGACTGACCATCTTTAGATGTTGTAATACACCCATTTAGAATTATTATCCCCTAAATTATGTTGGAGTCTTTTTACCTTTACTGTGTGTATATGTTAGTTCATTTGTTACTAAATGTCATGTTTTAAACAGGACAAAACAATGGGAAATCTTGTTATGGTTACTGTTGCTATTTCTCAAGGGTATACAAATGCTCATGTCTGCTTTAAAAATTTCTTTTCCTAAGAGAATCAACAACAATGAAGTAATTTTATCCTGTATGCCTCTAATTTATATCTGGGAATAGGGATTGCAATTCAGGTCTTCTACATTATTTTTAAAATTAGAACTCATATGGATTCCTCAGGAGATGTGGTCAATGTATATATTCATGTATCTATCATGTCTAATTCACAGTTAATTACTCCACTGTTTGTGGCAATGGATGAATGAATGCTTCAGATGCTCCACCTGTTTCCTTGTATTGTGTGTCTCCAAGAGAGAAATGGAAGATCCTTCTCATGGTTGTTAGCTGAAGGTATCTGTCTGTGTTCATTATCTAAGTGAGCCTATCAGATCAGGAACAGGATATACATTCATCTGTATACAGATTATTATATATCCATTTTTAAATAAATCAGGAAAAACACCTTTGTTGCTCACATTTAACTTCTACACACAATTTATGTTGTGTTTTTGTCTAATCCCTCTCCACCAAATTTCTGTGCTTTTTGCTGCAACAGTTGATGTTCACATTCTAGCTACTATTGTTGACTTGCTCCAATCTGCCTTCTCCCTGGCAGCCAGCAAGCTTTTTCACATTTTCTGCCACTTTATTTTCTTGGGTGTTACTATTCTTGATCAGGTGGGAACCTTGTATCATAACAAACTAGATATCCCATCTTCCTGCTCCTTATACATCCTCCAACCTATATGTTTCCATTATTGACACTACCTTAAGTTTTCCTTGTTTCTCAGAGCCCCCCAGTATTGTCCTTTCTAAACAGCCCTTTCTAGAGCCCTGTTTTTATTATCTTCCTATGAGGTTCTTCCATTAAAGGCTGTTCATAGACATTATATCATCTTCTTCATCACCTTGTCCCCTTGTGACTTGACATTTTTCTCAAAACCATGGATGCGTATTTCTCTAAACCCATTCTGAATATGTCATATATAGTATATAAAATGACATAAGAATAATATTGCTTATTCCAATATTGCTAACAATAACAAAATATTAGAAACAATCTACTAAGGAACTGATAGATATCTAGCATTTTCATTGTGATAAAGTAATTGCTACTAACACAGAAATGTGTAAGAAATGAAATATAACCAATTTCAGGCAATATCACATCAACTGAATTGTTTTTTTAACAGAGTGAGAGGAATGATATGTAGACATTTTAAAGATTGTTTTGACCAATTTGGGAGAATTGATACATTAACTGTAGTTAAAGCCTGGAAAATGTGAAGAAGCTAAGGGTGAGAGCCCCACCATTCACAGAGACAAATTGGCCATTAAATATGACTTCCCATAGAACTACCACTGACCTCTCTCTCAGCTGCTGGGATATGGACTCTTGTTTTGTTACAATCCTTTTCCTATTGTTTAGTGATTGTTCACATGGATAGGTAATGGTTAAAGGGGGAAAAGGAATACCAGTTTAGCAATAGAGAAAACAAATAGGAAATTTATAAAAAAAACATCTTTGGCTTAAAATCCTGGGTTAAAAACAAAGGAGGTGACATTTCTTTTGCTAGAAAAATACAAGGAAATGCCTTGGCTGATCTAAGAAGTGGTGGTCCAAAGAGCTAAGTGCTCCCAGGTGTTGTGTGAGATGCTTTGGTTTGAGCTGAGGATGTTAATAAGGAGTTAGGGAAGTTCTATGAAGGCTAGGAAGAGTGAAGGCAGAGTGAACACGTGGGTGGAGAAACAGTTCTGCTATGGGAAGAACGCATAGCTGCTTGTGAGCTGTTCTTGGTACTGGATATTGTTGCCACAGACTCATGCACCAAGGCTTTGCCCCTTGGCATATGCTGCTTTCACTAAGTCCCCAGATCCTGGTATCTTGCAGATTTAAAGAAGCCCCCTGAATTCCCCTATCTGAATTTAATTCATGGAAATAAAGTGCTAGACTAGTGCTTTCAAGAGATGTTGAAAAGATATAGAGAACTCAACAATCATCAAAATTTTGCTGACTTTTCTATTTGCTGGTCCCAATATACACACTAATTCCTTAATCTAAAATTGCCCTGGTGAAATTCAGGTGCCTTGAGCTGCAGGTGGGTGTGACTTGATAATTGCTATAATGTTTCTTGCTTCTTTCTAAAAGACATTCTGTTACTTTCTAGGTGGGCATTTTACACCCTGTTTGAAACCATCAGTAGCCCATTACTGTGACAAAATTCTTTATATTAAGGCAAAAACAAACAGAGTAAGTGGTTCAAACTAATGTTTTCTGTATTTATATTTCATAAAATGCTTCTACAGTATAATCTTTCTTTTCTATTTCTTATTATATTTACAAGAAAAGATGAAGATCATGAGGAGAGATAATGAGAGCACAGTGTCTGAGTTCATCCTCCTGGGACTCCCCATCCAGCCAGAGGATCAAGGCATGTACTCTGCCCTGTTCCTAGTCATGTACCTGACCACAGTGCTGGGGAACCTGCTCATCATCCTGCTCATCAGGCTGGACTCTCACCTCCATACTCCCATGTACTTCTTCCTCAGCCACTTGGCCTTCACAGACATCTCTTTCTCATCAGTCACAGCTCCAAAGATGCTCATGAATATGCTGACAAACAATCGGTCCATCTCATACGCTGGGTGTGTTTCCCAGGTGTATTTTTTTCTGTCTTTTGCAGATCTTGACAGCTTCCTTCTTACCTCAATGGCCTATGACAGGTATGTGGCCATCTGTCACCCTCTGCACTACACCACCATGATGAGTCAGAACCTCTGTGTCCTGCTAGTGATAGTGTCCTGGGTCTTGTCCTTTGCCAATTCCCTTGTTCACACCCTCCTCTTGGCTCGTTTGTCACACTTTAGAGACAATACCATTCCACACTACTTCTGTGATCTCTCTGCCTTACTAAAGCTGTCCAGCTCAGACACTACCATCAATAAACTGGTCATCCTTCCTTTGGGTACACTGGTCATTACTCTGCCATTCATATGCATCCTGGTCTCTTATGGCCGCATTGGAGCCACCATCCTAAGAACTCCTTCAATCAAAGGAATCTGCAAAGCCTTGTCCACGTGTGGTTCTCACCTCTCTGTGGTTTGTCTGTACTATGGAGCCATTATTGGACTGTACCTAGTCCCTTCATCTGATAGCACTAATGGCAAGGATGTCATTGTGGCTGTGATGTACACTGTGGTCACACCCATGCTGAATCCCTTTATCTATAGTCTGAGGAATCGGGATATGAAAGAAGCCATGAGCAATATGCTCAGCAGGAGAGTCTCTTCACAGTGATGGGTGTGGTCTTCCCTGGTAGCATCCCTATTCCTTTTTCCTCTTCTCCCATTCATTCTCTGTTCTCTGTCTTAGTGAATCTTCACATTTCTTCTTCTTCACTCACTTCTTGTGCTTTTTCTGTAGTTGACTGTCTCGCTGACATTGAGTGTTTGGAGAATGTTTCTTCCAAATCTCCTACATATTTTCCCTTGTATTACAGAAATTTTAATTGTTTATATACTCATCATCAAGTCTTTTTTATAAGCGAGTTTTGTAGTTTTTATAGCAAAATCTTTTTCATTTCTGAAGCTGACAGAAATATTTGTTTCACTAGATTTATCATTTTAGTTTGTTTTTTTTTCTTACAATATACTCTGAATTTTTTGGTCACTAACCCTAATTAGGAATTTCACTTAACATTTGTTTATTTATTTTTATATTTGTGTATGGGTGTTTTTCCTGCATGTATGTCTGTGCATCATGCTGTGCCTAGTGCCTGCAAGGTCAGGAAACGGTGTCAGGTCCCCTGAGACTGGATTTACAGAAGGCTGTAAGGTACCACATGAATAAGGGAAATCAATTCTGAGTCCTCTGAAAGTGTAGCTACTGCTCTTGACTGATGGACTACATTTTCTGCCCCTTATTTTTAGTCTTTGTAGCTGGCATTCAAAAGTCACAAAGAGTTATGGGGTAAGATGTGATGTTTTCATACCTGTAAATAGTGCACAATATTCAAATCAAAGAAGCTATAGTAATTTTCTCAACTATTTACCATATCTTAGTATGAAATTATTTCACATTCTCTATTCTAGCCTTCGGGGTAATGCATATTATTTATAATCAGTGTACATTGAAAGATATGAAAACATTTATTTTTCCTACCTACCCATAATTTAGTACCCACTGACCAACCTATACCCAACCTTTCCTTTCCCATTTTATTTGTAACCTTATCCATTTTCTTCAGATTTTTTATTATTTGTATTAATGTGGTGGTAATCAGGTGTTTAATTCACTGTGTTTTCTGTCAAGTGTTTAAACCTGATCACTAGCTGGGTGAAACTGTTATCTGTAAAATGTGTGAGAGAGAGCACAGTTATAGACAAGTTCTGCATGGAGCCTGAAGGTCACTCCCGAGTTGGGGGAGTGTGTTGAGGCATCACACAGAGGTTTGAGACTTTAACCCTACCTTTCAAGTGGTGCTTTGGGTGCGCACAGTTATTCCATCATAACAAAGAGGCTCTGCTGTTTTGAGTGGGTGATGAAGAATGGCTAGGTCGATATTGCAATGCCTCAAAAACTTAAATTGAAGTTCAATCTGGTCTGCAAAGCGTTTTAATGCAAATATTGTATTATAAAAGGAAAAAAAGACAATTCCTCGCTCAACCACCAAAATATCACATTCTGTGAAGTGATTTTGCCTTTGTTCTTTGAGACCATGCTCCTGCTGAAGCAGAAAGACTTAATTTAGTTGATAGCAGCTGACTGGTATGACAGATATTTCTGAAAGGTAGGATAGGAGAGTTTAATAGCTAGTTAAATGCCGCTTAGCTAGTACTTAGTGGAACTTAAGCCAGTATGTGTGAGAAATGACTATATTCTCCTGACCTTTTGCTTTTGTTGTGTACCATTTGCTCTGAAAATATATTCTCTCTATTTTCATGCTACACTGCAAGATGATGATAACACACTTATCTTTGCTATTGTTGTGTGGTGGCTCAATCAAAAATGGACTTGAGTATTGTGTATGGTGATAGATATGTATCTATTTTGATTCTTCTACAGGTTGACATCCAGTTATGCCCGCACCATTTGACAGAGACGCTTTCTTTCTTTCATTGTATAGTTTTAGCTTCTTTATCAAAAATCAGGTGTTAATATCAAGGTCTTCAATTTGATTCCATTGGACAACGTCTCTGTTTTTATGTCAATACCAAACTGTTTTCATTACTGTAGCCCTGTAACAAGAGTTTGATGTGAGGGATGGTAATGCCTCCGGAAGTTCCTTTATTGTATAGGATTGTATTGACTATCCTGGGTTGTTTTGTTTTTCCATTTAAAGTTGATTATTGTTCTCTCAAGGTCTGAGAAAAATTTTGTTGGGATTTTGATGGGGATTGCATTGAATCTATAGATTGCCTTTGGTGGGATTGCCTTTTTTACTATATTGATCCGACCAATCCAAGAGCATGGGAGATCCCTGCATTTTCTGGTATCCTCTTCAATTTCTTTCTTCAAAGACTTAAATTTCTTGTCAAATAGGTCTTTCACTTCCTTGGTTAGTATTAACTCAAGATACTTTATGCTATTTGTGGCTATTGTGAGAGGTGAAGTTTCTGTGATTTTCCTCTCAGCGTCTTTATCCTATGTGTATAGGAGGCCTACTGATATTTCTTAGTTGATCTTGTAACCTGCCACATGACTGAAGATATTTATCAGCTATGGAAGTTTTCTGATAGAGTTTTTGGGGTCATTTATGTACAGTATCATATCATCTGCAAATAACGAAAGTTTGACTTCTTCCTTTCCAATTCAAATCCACTCGATCTTTTTATGTTGTCTTATTGCTATTGCTAAAATTTCAATCACTATGTTGAAGAGATATGGAGAGAGTGGACAGCCTTGTCTTGTTCCTGATTTTACTGGAATTGCTTTGAGTTTTTCTCCATTTAATTTGATGGTAGTGGTCAGCTTGCTGTATCTTGCTTTTATTATATTTAGATATGATTCTTGTATCCCTAATCTCTCCAATACCTTTATCATGAAGGGGTGTTGAATTTTGTAAAATGCTTTTTCAGCATCTAATGAAATGATCATATTTTTTTCTTTCAGTTTATTTATATGATGGATTACATTGATAGATTTTTGCATGTTGAACTAGTCCTGCATCTCTGGGATGAAGCCTACTTGATCATAATGGATGATTTTTCTAATGTGTTCGTGGATTCGGTTTGCCAGTATTTTATTGAGAATTTTTGCATTGATGTTCATGAGTGAGATTGGTCTGTAATTCTCTTTCTTGGTTGAGTCTTTTTGCAGTTTTGGTTTCAGGGTAACTGTAGCTTCATAATAGAAGTTTGACAATGGCCCTTCTGTTTCTATTACGTGGAACGTATTAAGGAGTATAGGTATTAGCTCTTCTTGTAAGTTCTGGTAGAATTCTGCATTAAAACCATCTGGTCCTGTGCTTATTTTTGGTTAGGAGGTTTTTGATGACAGCTTCTATTTCCTCACGACTTATAGGTCTATTTAAATTGCTCAACTGGTCTTGGTTTAATTTTGGCATATGGTATCTATTTAAAAAATTGTCCATTTTTTTTACATTTTCCAATTGTGTGGCATACTGGTTTTTGTAGTAAGACCTAATGATTCTCTGAATTTCCTCAGTGTCTGTGCTATGTCCCCCTTTTCATTTCTGATTTTGTTAATTTGGGTGTTCTCTCTCTGCCTTTTGATTAGTTTGGATAGGGGTTTGTCAATCTTGTTTATTTTCTCAAATTACCAACGCATTGTTTCATTAATTCTTTGAATTGTTTTCTTTTTTTGTTCCTATTTTGTTAATTTCACCCCTCAGTTTGATCATTTCCGTTCTTCTACTCCTCCTGGGTGAGTCTGCTTCTTTTTTTCTAGAGCCTACAGGTGTGCAGTTAGGTTGCTAATGTGAGCTTTCTCGGTTTTCTCTATATGGGCACTTAGTGCTCTGAACTTTGCTCTTAACAGTGCTTTCACAGTGTCCCATAGGTTTGGGTATTTTGTGTTTTTATTTTTATTGAAATCTAGGAAGACTTCAATTTCTTTCTTTATTTCTTCCTTGACCCAAGGGCGGTTTAGTAGTTGACTGTTCAGTTTCCATGAGTTTGTAGGCTTCTTGCGGGTAGTATTGTTGTTAAATTGTAGCTTTACTCTATGATGATCAAAAAGATACTCCAAATTTTTTTTATTTGTGGAGCTTTGCTTTGTTACAGAGTAGTGATTAATTTTCAAAAAGGTTCCATGAGGTGATGAGAAGAAGGTATATTCTTTCCTTTTTGGGTGAATGCTCTATAGATGTCTGTTAAGTCCACTCAATTCATTACATCTGGTATTTATCTTATTTCTCTGCTAAGTTTCTGTCTGGTTGACCTGTGCATTGGCACGAGTAGAATGTTGAAGTCTCCTACTATTAGTGTGTAGGGTTTGATGTGCAATTAAAGTTTTAATAATGCTTCTTTTACATTTGTCGTGCTCTTATGTTAGGGATTATAACATAGATGTTATAGCATAGATTATAGCATAGATGTTCAGGATTGAGACTTCATCTTGATAAATTGTTCCTGTTATGATTATAAAGTGCCCTTCTCTGTCTCTTCTGATTGATTTTAGTTTGAAATCAGTTTTGTGAGATATTAGGATAACTATACACACTTTTTATCTTAGGTCTTGGTAAACCTAATTTGATTGAAAAACCTTTTCCTAACTCTTTACTCTGAGGTAGTGTCTGTCTTTGAGGTTGAGGTGTGTTTCTTGTAAACAGTAGAAGGCTGGATTCTGTTTTTGTATCCATTCGCTTAGTCTTTTTATAGGTGAATTGAGTCCACTGATATTAAACGATATTAATGACCAGTGTTTGTTAACTCCAGTTACTTTTCAGTAGTAATTTTTGTGTGTCTCTCTTCTTTAGATTATGCTGGTGGGGGGTTATCAGATGTTTGTGTTTTTGTGGGTGTAGTTAGCTTCCTTGGTTTGGGGTTATCCTTCCTGTACTTTTTGTAAGGCTGGGTTTGTGGATATGTATTGTTAAAAACTGTTTTTGTTCAAGGAATACCTTGTTTTTTCCATTGATGATGAATGAAAGCTTTGCTGGGTATAGTAGTCTTGGCTTGCATCCATGGTCTCTTAGTGTCTACAGCACAACTATCCAGGTCCTTCTGGCTTTAATGGTTCTCATTGAGAAGTCAGGTGTAATTCTGGTATGTTTACCCTTATATGTTACTTGACCTTTTTCCTTTGCAGCTCTTAATATTCTTTCTTTATTCTGT